TTTCACATGAAAAGGAGATATATTACCGGGAAATCCGTGTTGCCAAGCGCCGCATATCGAGCGCGAAAGTTGCCGTCGTCAAAGGCAAACGTGCAAGGGACCACGTGGTGATCTCAGAGGAACGTTCTTATACTGTTTCGCTCATAGCTTCCCTCGATCCATCTCGAAGAAAGGCGTCCTTCGTGATACTTGACCGTTTTGGGTATTATTACGCGATGACGTGAAGAAATATATATGAAATGTATCGACATTTTCGTCGACGAGAAATATACTCCAAACTGATCAAACTTTCTAGAAATGAAAGGAAGTACCGGAACGCTGTATATAAGTGAACAACGCAGCCTTTCACGCGTATTTCATTTTATGTTAGCTCAGTGAAATTGTTCGTTCAAGAATAATTGCAGCTAGAAGAAGCAAAAAGAAGTGAACACAAAGTTATTCGAGACGAAAAAATGAGTTCTTAGACTTACTATGAGTTCTACTGCTCCTCAAGTATCGGTTTCGTGCTCACTGCTTAACACACTTTCTATTTTTATGCGAGTAATAGCGCTTTTTTTCGACTTTCCTCGCGATAAAGGCTACGTTTTCCGTTAAATAGATCGTTAAGCGAGAAAAGGGGGGAATTCAAATCAGTTCAGGATCGTGGCGAATGTTCCCCGTGCCGTGTTACCTCGCTCTCGAATCGCTCTCGAAGGCAGGCGTCGCGTAACAATACCTGATAAAAATCGATTTAACTGAAAACGACGGCATTGCTCCGATCCAATTCGCGTATGCTAATGGGATCTAATCCTCGTGTCTTTTTTGCCGAACGTACAATCGCCCGATAATTTCACGTTATCTCGAGTAATTTGCTATTATGTAGCGTCGCGTGTTTAACTGGTTTCATTGTGAATGACTTTTGCGCCGCTACGGCGAGCTTCGTCGAAAGTAGTCACGAATCGCTGACCCAGAAAAATGTTATGATGCTTTTATATTTTATCGCGTAAAGCATCTTTCTCTCGTGTATTTTGTTGCTTCTATTCTGACTTCTTTTTTCACGCTGGAAAAGTGTCAACTTCCGATTTGACTTCTTTTACTTCTCGTTAATAATTTTCTGAGTTTAATTTATATTGTGATATCGAGAAGCATGCCCTCAATATCATATTTATGTGTTAAATGTACATGTGATATTTTTGCTAATTAATTTTTTTATTAACTTAAAAAAAGGGAAATTCTATATATCGCGAATTTTATATATAATAAAATTTCAGAATTGTTTAAAAAAATATACACATTTAAATATGTATTTTTTTACATACTTAATTTTAGTTTTTACCTAACAAAGTATAAAATGTCGTGCAAGCGATTTTTTGCTGACTAATTGATTCTCTCTCTCTCTCTCTCTCTCTCTCTCTCTCTCTCTCTCGTCACCTTTCCAGAAATAAAAATCCCATATATATCTCAAATTATATAATAATAAGATATAATAATAAGATTTTAAAATCGTTTGCAAATTATATTTAAATATTTATTTTTTACATATTAATTTTAGTTCCTGATCGATATAGTAAAAATAAAAAACAAACACTTGTATACAGAAACCTTCTATTTAACGAGTAAAAACTAAAATTAAATAATACTGATAAAATTACGTATTCAAACACGTTCTTTTTAAATAATTCTAAAATTTTGTTATTTAATTTGCAATATATATAAAATCTGCTTTTTCATGAAAGTTGGCAAAAAAATCAATTAGCCAACAAAAATATCGCGTATGTGCACATTTAATTACGCCCGGGAGCGCGAACAAAAGTTTCTCTTATTACATTCGGATTAGAGCCGATTCCAGTCGGAGCCAGACGAGCTTGTTTCCATTGTGCTTCTTCGACCGTTGCTTTTAAATCGCGGCCGAACTTTTCCCCGTGTATTCTTTAATGAAGATTCTCTCGAATTCTTTTAACGCTTACTTTACGCCGCCGATAAGAAATTCACGACGGCCTGGCGTCTGCTTTTTTATCGATCTTACGATTAAAGTGTATTTAATGCTCTTTCTCAATAAACGATGCACTTGCCCCTCTGCAATACTTTTTGATTGTCATACCTACCAGGGTAGTTTTTCTTGAAAATCTCTTTACCGTTTAATAATTAAAATTAAATTTATAGAAAATTTTGCTACAAAATAATTAACTTATCCTTGCGCTCTTCTCTCCGTACGTATAGTTATGTCTCCGTACGTATATCTATATATCGCGCTATACATGTATAAAATGTAATAATATTTATCCAAACAATTTTGTTTTACAGATTTGATTCCCGATATTGCCATCTGGAAATTAGCTCCATATTGGCGATAACGAAAATCAATCAACCGATAAATTTAATGATTAGTTTAAAAGCAACAACAATTATAAATCCATAACTTTTGAAAATCGAGATTGGCAATAAAACATGTTATATATACATACGTAAGCGTACAATTACAGTTTATGAAAACAGCGCAAGCTCATGCAATCTGTGTAACACGATATTACTATTTTGGCATTATTCTGTACGTATGCGCAATTTATACTCCCGAAATAACGCAGAATTTTATGTTACTCGAATGATTTCAATTTCTGGACGCGTGTGCTTAAAACTAACTCGAACGGAGTAAGCAATGCCGCGCAATTCTGCGGATTTAAAAGTTATTTTGTTCTCGTTATACGATGATCCTGTCAGCCTGTATCTCGGCACAGTCTCCAGAGCTCTTCTTCATCGCCCCTGTAAAATGCGATCAAGCAAGAGATTTCGCGATAATCCACTTTCTCCACGTGGCGCGGTGACTCGCAAAGAGCCGGCGAAAGTAGAGCCGTACGTGACGTTCGTCTTTACCTCTTTTTAGAAAAAGAAAATAACGCAATCGTCGGAATTTCCGGGGCGGAAAAGGGGGTAGCGGCGGAGCGTTTTTCGATCTCGACGCCAGCGTCGTTGCCGTTGTCGCCACCGCCGTCGCCGCGCTATCGGGAATATTTTAAATCACGTCCGAGATAATCGAATTCCACACCGCCGGAAGACGCACCACGTTCGCCCGGACGTTATTCACCCTTTAATGGCGGATTCGCACCCCTCATGCGCACAGCATCCCTCCTCCCGCTTCCTCTCTTTCTCTCCCATTTTTCTTTTTCGCTTTGGCACGCCATTTACGCATCGCTGCTACGGGCGACGGGCGCGTAAAGAATGCAAAGGTTCCCCTGGGAAAGTACGTTCTCCCCGAACAGTATCGTCCCGTAAATTGTGCGCCGTCCATCCTGATTCTCCGCGCCGTGGCGAGAACCGCGCGATCATCTCATCTCCATCGCCGATACGTCGAATTCTGTACCTGCTACGTGCCGACATTCTAACCGACGGAGTTATGGAGTCGATGGTGCGTGATTCGACGGGACGTCGGCATTTATTGGCTTGCCGGACGAGCTTCCTTTCGCTAGATAAATGTGGCTTTGGAGATGAAGTTATTAATTCCGTTTAATATACCGTTTTTCCCCCGCAATATCCGACGGATATTTCCGCAAAAAAAAAACAGAGAACGAAAGATATGTAATCTACAGTATATAGATCTTATTCCCCCCCGACTTGTAAACAGTGGGGAAGCATTGGTTGCTCCAGATTCGTGTATCGGGATTGTCTTGTATTAGCGGCTATGTTTGACATTGGTATGGATGTCAAACATCTATATCAATACGCCACCGGTATTGATTTAGATGTTTGACATTACTATGTACCATGAGTATCTATATTGTAAACGTTATTATAGCGTATCTCGCGGTCCGAAGAAGCGTATCGCTATTTATTTCGTACCGCGCCCTATTGACTTTCATCCGCTAAATATATAGAGCGGGCGCCATACATTGGCATGATCCAACAATGGAGACCAATTTGGGATCGTCCTGTATAAATAGCGGGAAAAAGGGACGGCGTCGAATCGAATGGATCTCGATGCCCAGAATCGCTCTATGATGACACAACGTGCCATTTAAAACCTTATACTATCGACTGCCAACGGAGACGACTGTATCACGTGACAGCGGAATAATGAGGAATTAAATTGTACAATCGAAAGCGAGAGAATCGTACGGATTTGACATTCAATTCAAGACGCGCGACTATTGTCACTAGATAGATCCTTCAATCAAGTATAATCTTCTGAAGGACGGGCAGCGTGAGAGCGGAATCTCCACAGTAAGGGGACTCGCTATTTTACGACTGGAATACGTATTAAAGCTCGGATGGATCCGTATCCTCTCGGAGCGAGAACGAACTGCAATCATGCGACCGAATATCTCTATATCGACGATTCTCTCTCATCTCTACCCTTGCCCACCTCTTTCTTTCTCCCTTCCGGAAGCTCACTCGTCGTTCTGGTTCGCGAATCGGCTCTAGAAAAATGGCCATCAGGTTTTCTATTATCGCGATAAACATCTCATGGTGATCGGGATGGTTTGTCAATAGCGCGGTATATATACAACTGAGGTGTTCGACGGATCCTCTTTCGTAGTAAGTGAAAGGCAAATGCGATATCGCGCAGAGCGTTCGGGATTACATGTCCTTCAGGCACACGCTCGGCTTCGATCCCATTATCGGATCTCGTGAGAGTTCAGCTATCGAAATTCACATATCTTTGTCATTGTCACGGTAAGACGATTAGTTCCAATAGGCGGCGTTTGGAAATTGCTGAACTCTCATTACATGTTGCATCGCGCAGATCCGCGATATCTTCACGAGAAATTTGCCGGGTATTCGCTGATTTACTTTGAACCGCAATTCTCCTCTCAATTGTATATAATTACGATGCAACGTTATTATCGTCGGTCGTGGGGGGTAAACCGTGTCTTGTAATTATCATATTTCGCGCAAATTAAAAGCGCCGATAAAACGTGCCCCGCGGCCGCGGCGGCGTGAATCTCACATTATTCATCGATGCCGCGCGGTCGAGCAAACCGAGGCGAATTTTTATCGTGATGCGCATACTACATGCAGATACTTACAATGCATGTCCACGCGGACCAACGACGATAGCGGGATCGACCTATTGTTATTCGTGGCGTTGCAGGTCAGCACCGAGTATACGTCGCCCCGGCCTAAATTCTGTATAACGATCTCGCTGCGTGTCACGCCATCGTGCAGCGTCGTCGTCCGGTTGGTGACGAATTTGTCGTTGCGATACCAGGACACTGTCGGGGCCGGCTTACCTGCGGAAATACATCAATTTTTGGCTCGCTGCGTGTCAGTTTCCCCGGAAAATATGATCGCGCTTCGGTATTGATGAATTGCGCTGCTCCGCGGAGATCTCTTGCAGCTCGCGTGGGTATCTTCGATTTTAATAGCATTTAACCCCTTCGTTGCTAAGTCGATTATAATTGTCGTGTGCCTTGATTGACTAAGTCGATTTTATTCTACGCGTATATAAATATTTTCAGGTTTTATTTCTAGTTTAAAAATGCAAGTACACGATTCGCTTAATCAAATTGATGCTATATAAGTAATGATTTTTAATTTGCTGAAAATAATTTTTAAGTAAGAAAATAAAGTAATTTTAGCAACGTAGGGATTAATTTAACAAAAATCACACTATTGCGATATTAGTGGTGCCGCAAGTTGTTTAATGATGCAAGTAACGCAAGCACTATTCGAGGTTTGATTAAAAAAAAAAAAAAATATAATTGCACAATGCATCGTTGTAAAAGATTGAAAAGGATCAATACTGCATAAATGGCACATGAAATTGATCTTTCATATTATAAATAAGCATAGACATACTGCCACTAAACAATTTACTTCGATATTAATACCATCGATCATAAACACGTATATATTCGAATTATTTATGTATAATTATTCGCATTGTGTAACACGCGTGCAATAATTATTTAATAACATAATATGTACATAACATAATTGATAAACATAATTGATACATTAATGAAAATCATTAACTACTATTACAAGAAGCATAGAATATTATAATGTTATAATGGAATAAAAGATTGCACGGGAACATTATGAAATCGTTTTACACTCTAAAATATTGATAACTCTTGCTCTACCGGAGATAAGAATAATCCATGAAATTTCAGAACGATAATTCATTCCAGTTTTAGTACATTTTATCTCCGGACCGTTAATATTTTACGAATCTTCCACAAATATACAAAAGTTATTAATATCACAAAGAGCGAAAATTTTATAACAATTCCATGTAATATCATCTTTGCAATATTCATTGTCACTCATGTTACATGCGATATAAACATGCGGATTATTTATTCATAAAGACTGATGTTTTGCAGCATGCGAAAATTTATCTCGTAATATAATTTATAATGTATAATTAATAGGGCTATAAATTATATAATATAGATACAATTAATATGTATTACGAGCATAAAGTTATTATATAATATGTTAAGGGGACCTTTGATTTATATAGAAATAAATCCATAGATATTGTTTACTAAACAAAGAGTATGCCAACCATTGTCGCGTCGACTACGCACTATCAATAGCAACTACAAAGGTTGCAAGACTCGCGTTGCAAGTGAGAAAAAAATATACGCAGCTTTTTGAAGTGAAGAAAGCTTCGTCACTCAATACCGTGCACATTCCGCTTTTACATACAATATGCTACTCACCGCCGTGAACGTCGCAGAAAAGATGTAGCCTCTGGCCCTCCATGTACGGTCCGACCTTCGAGTCCCGTGTGTTTCCCTTCTCGTCGATGATCGTGATCTTTTGCGGTGGCACTGGAAACGAACAGAGAAACGTCGATATATAGTTATCGCCTAGGAATATTCATGAGCACAGACAAAGAGAGAGAGAGAGAGAAGGTGGGCTCTTCTGATTTCGCGACTCGCCGCGGCCGCGTAGAGCGGGGGCGTCCTCCGGGCGCGCGCGCGCGCGTCGTGGAGGAACGTAGAGAGCGGGACGTCCTCGGCGGCGCGTCACGAAAAGTCCGATAACACGAAATTGGTATTGGAAGATCCCGCCTGAGATATCGTGACGGCATTAAATTGAAATCTGAAATCGATATCGAGCGCGAAGCGCGCTGGAGGTCGCGATGTATTTCTGACGGGCATATGTACTGGGTGATGCGTCCGCGAGCGTGCACGCGCGCGTGCTCGCACAGTGTTCACTTTTGCCCCCGGGTCCAGAAGCTGGGAATTGTCGTGATATCGGATATTGGACGGACGTGAAGTTCGCCCGGGAAACGGAACTCGAAATAATAAGACCGCGCGGGACCGACGGAAAGCCTGCACTTTATCGTTTCCCATCCGGGTGCGCGCACGACGTTCCTTAATTCTCTCACGTAAATGAGTTTATCGTTTTATTCGGCATCCTTTTACGAGGTTTACGGAGAAATCAGATTGCGACACTCGTGCGAAGCTAGAGAGCCACTTGACGGCACGGAATTCCGAGCGATGTAATTGGAAAATTACAATCGCAAAAATCACGCTGGGAAGAAAACCGGCATTTGAGAAACGCCGTTCCCGTTTCACCTTATTTTTCTTCCTGGCAGCTTTCCTCGCCGCATAAAGAATTATTTTGGTTCTGCGCTCTCGGAGCGGAACGGCGTTTTTATTCTTATTTGCAATCTTCTTTCATGGCGCATCAAGCGCGACAGTCGGGAGCTTTTGAAATCAAAAGCAACTTGGCGCATTTGGTGAAGTACAGTCGCTTCTCCTTCAGCTTGAATCAAATGCATTATTACTATTAGTAAGAGCCAGAGAGACCCGGACACCCATCGTATCCCTTCCCTTACACCGTCCACTGTAATTCCAGCTCTAAATTTATGTGCATGTAACACTGTCGTTAGTTCTCCTCTTACAGGTTACAGTAATAAAATGCGTCTGACTTTTCAAACTGCAATTTCACTTATTGCTTTCTTCATCAGGATTTCAGAGCTCACAAATGTACGGTTTATTTTCCTTATTATGTTCATTATTCGCAGCAAATAAATCAATCCGCGGATTGAATTTGCACTGCGTTGTTTTTCGCAACATATTCTTTCCTCTATGTTCTATTTGTCGTCTACCGCGTACCGATTTCCGATGATTGCATTGTTACTTCATGGTGTTTCTTTATTAAATCTGACTTTATTAAATCTGACTGATTTGTTAATCGGATAGAGTGCAATTAAGGTCAATTTTTAGCTATTTAGAGTAAAGAGGAATCGATAGGCATTTTTGGCTTTCTATTTCATATTCAACTTCTAAGTTCCGATTTGGAATATTGAAATTTTCTATGCAAATACAGTTTGAATGAGACAAGATTTCATAAATATTAGACTCGATTGCAAGTCAGAAACTGATCAAAATTGCACGAATCGAATACATTAATAAACGTAAAGCGTTTTTAATACGTCTTTAGATTTGTTGTTGTGGATGCTGGCTCCGTGAGTTCTCTCTGTTTTGTCTGCCATCTCTCCCTCTGCTTCTCGAGAACCTCCCTTACCACCGTCTCCGTAATCCTGACAAATGGTATGCGGGGAAGTATCATTTATCGGTATTAGCCTTTGTAGTATTTGCAGTATCATAGTCCGCCGTGTAATACGTTACGTATCCCGATTGTCTCCCCTTCACCCCACTTCGTAAGGACAAGGAACATGATGTACTCGCATCGATGTCGGAGAGTTGCCGACCTCTTTTTTCTAAAGGCGCCGTCCCTCCGAGTAAAGACGCAGTAGTAGTCTAGCGGTACAGCGCGGCGCAGCGCGGCGCGCCATTAATCCGCGACAGGTCTGACAGCGGCGCACCTGCACTACTGCCGTTATTTATTTCCGCGGAAACTGCCGTGGCTGCGCTCTATACTGACGAGAATTATCGTGCTTTAATGAAACCGATCCCTCCGGTAAAACTCAATTTATTATCCGACTCGCACGCGCACTTTCACGTCCGACTCCGCGCTGGCCACTTTCTTTCCTCTAATTATCCGCCGTGCGTTTAGCTAAAAGCCGACACACATCCGCGCGCTTGCGAAATCATTTCACCTCGCGCAATCATTTTTCATACATCCCATTTATCCCGCGAGAATATGTTCCTGCCGAAAGTAAGCGAGCTTCGGTCCCGACGGGGACTGACGATGATTAAACTCGTTCTCTCGTTAGCGGGAGCGATCGTGATTAACGTAAAAATAGATCTCGCATTAGTAGCCCAGTAGCGCGGAACGATTAACGTGCGCAATGTTGCGCCATTAATATTCCCCTTTCTCCCTTTTCCAATTACTAAGGCGGCACATAATTTTCGTAGAATTATGAATGCCAGCAGATATTTACGGTTATGACGATACACCGCGGTCCCCTGGAAACATTTATATAACTCTGAGAGAAGGCCGTGGAAAAAAGAAATTGATTTCGCATTATACTTTATCTTTGTATTAAAATATATGAAAGCAGTATTTCATAGTATTCTATTTTTAAATAACCCTCCTGTAGCTTTTACACAATGCACGTTCCATTTACGTTGTGTGCCTTAAGTCGATCGACTTATTTGAGGCTGAAACGTGCCTCAAACACTTTGCGGTTGACTTGCGTTGCATACTTATCGCAAAGCTCAGAGCTGATTATAAGCAAAATTTTGCGCAAAGTATCAGCGCGTGATGGAGTTATTATAACAAAGTGTGTATATTAAGTACGGTTTCGGATTTGAGTTGTGAAAGCAAACACAAGTTCTTTGACGTTTACGTGCGATAAAGGCTTTTTATGCAATATCGGAATTTGGTTTTCACATGCATTTGTTCTCTGATGTTCGTAACGTGCACAGATTTGTACAAAATTCTACCTTGCAGATAATTGTTAATTAAATCAGGCGATTAAATTGATAATTAAATAAAAATAAATTGTCCTACTTTATTGCATTGTAAATTCTTTCACGGGCATTCTATTACAGAAATAAATTTTATTCTATTCACTTCTAGTATTTTATCGTTTCTGTTTTATTTTCATCTTTATTATTGTAACATCTTTTTATCGGGTTTTTTTTTTTCGAGCACGTTATTTTGGTATGTTCGAAATGACCTTTTTGCAATTTATGTCGTTTTACATTTCCACTGGACAATCTCGTTTATTCGTACGCGCACAGTTGATCAGCGCGCGCGTTTTATTCGCGAACTTCGCTACGCTAGCGCGGCCTGGTCAGATTTATTGTTTATAAGGGCCCTTGATTTCGGGACGGAGGGGGCATCATCAGCATCGAGAGCACGGCGTCGGGTCGGCTGCGCGCGGGAAGTCCGAAACTGTTTTCGTGATTAATGCCACGTCGGGTTGGGTGGCGTGGGGAAAAAGCGGGGCAGTGTAACGGACGACCGAGCCATCGGGTGGTAATTGTCGTGCCCGCAGTTACGCTGGTTAATTTGAGCCGCCAAAAAGTTACTTCCGCCTCTTGCTCCCGCCGTGGCCATAAAAAAATTTTACTGCGGTTCGCGTGCAGGTGCGCAAATGAAGCCGTATCGGTATGTGCTAACGGCGACCCCGGGCGCGTCGTAACGACGTGCAGCGGGATTTGATTTCGGACTCGAACTTTACGTTACCGAGCGCACCAAGTTTCGCTCTGATAAACCGGCGCTTCCACGAAAATATGTGACTGCGGTATAACGGGTTTAAATCCAAATCGTATGTAGTAAGTTATCGGATATTTTGCCGTAAAAGCGCGGCGTACCTTTTTGCAGATAGGATTTTGGATTTCGATGTTATGACTCTGATCGCCGGATTATCGCGAGTAAAAGCTCAATTCTAATTATAATTGGGCACGCATGAAAGAATATAACGTGATAAAAAATGATGGTGTGTAATTTTTTGGCCTTTACGAATAATTTACATACATACATAGTAATGTTTCATGCATACATTTTGACTTCATCGCGCGAGTTTTAATATTACATATTTCTATCGGGATCAGCTCGATCACGCACGCATTTTTATTCTAAATTGCGATCGCAATTTCGCTTTTGTCATCGCATTTACTTTGGCGCCGTCGTGCGCCATCGGTATGCATGGTATGCAACATCGCGTGATGAAGTTCTGTCATGGCGATTTTTTAATTTTCGACGCGTGACAACAGACCGATTAGACTGCTACTTGTACAGGGGGAACGCGTGAAATTGCGTCCGTGATTGAAAAATATTTCCACAAAAATATATAAAGGTGCTCATAGACAAAAGTACGCTTTTTATTCATAAAACGACGGCGATCAAAAAAATAAAGCGCGGCTACCGACGTTATGAAGATAGAAAAAACGCGCGTGCGCGCGAGCGTGGACACAAGCGGGGAAGCGTATATATGAATTCTAAAGGGGCGACCGTTCGCTTCGATTTTCGTCAATGCTGCAGCGATGAATAGGTTGATTCGATTCGCGAGCGTGTTCCGCTTTGGCGAAACGCTCCACTTTCGTTGCCTGCCGTCTCCATCCTGTATGTATCCTGCATGCGCGCCTATCCCTTGTCTCGCACCTCTCCTCTTTTTACATATGCCGAATCAAAACACGTTCGTTAATCCTGCGAGATGGAGAGTCAGCAGAGCGGCAGTATTGCGGATGGAGATTCGTTCAATGCGACACACTTGTGGCTACTCGCAGAAGCGACACGAAATGCATATCGGTTGCTATTTTAAAAATAGTATTGCAATTGCTGTATTCTCAGGGAATTGTAGCTAATACGCATAGCAATAAACACAGCATTGTTTTTTGTTGATTAAAAAAAATGAGAAAAACGAGGAGCTTAATCTTATTTCAAGCAAAATTGTAAAGGTATC